GCCACCGCCGCCTCCACCGCCGCCACCAGGACCTCCACCCCCGCCTCCACCCCCACCGCCACCCCCACTCCCCCCGCCGCCCCCACCTCCTCCGCCACCGCCCGCGCTAGCTCCACCCGCTCCTTTGCCCCCCTTGCTCCTGCCAGAGCGGCGCCTACCGCTGGGGGCAGACGCCGCACCGACCGACTCTAAACCAACGAGGTCGGGCGCAGCAGCAGAGGCGACAGAGGGTAGCAGGGGGGAAGGAGAACACCCCTCAAAGATGGGGGTGCGCGGGTCACCACGAGAGGCCCCTACAGCGACTATGCTCTTCTCGGCCGCTAGGAGGGACTTCTCAAGGAGGTCGACAGTGAGGGTGGTGGGACAGACAGAGAGAAACTGGTCCCTAACAGCACGAAGGGACTCAGGGAGACGGGTGACTAGAAAGTAGAGGGTGATGTACATATGAGGGGGGTTTTCAGCGAGGAAGGCAGCAGGAAGCTTAGCTCGGTAGCGAGTGTCACTAGCGCGAAGGTGGGTAAAGAGGTCAGTGACTGTGGGAAAGGCAGCAAGGTCAGGGAAGAGGAACGGTAGCATGAGGCGGCTCAGTGTAGCAGTGGAAGGGGAGGAGTAGCGCGCAACTACAGCGTCGTACAAGGCCTGAGCGGTCTTGCACTGACTAAAGTGTGCACGCTCGGAGGAAGGGAGGTGGCGACGCACAGCAAGACGTGCAGCAACATCGCGTGTGGCCCACTTGGAGCGAACAGTGGGGTCAGCATCAGCAGGAGGGGCAGGGACAGCGCCAGAGACAAAGTCAAAGAGAGAAACCTCATCGATCGCATCGCACAGTAAGTACAGCTGCAGGTCCTCAATCCAGACAGCAAAGTCAATGGCGCGACCCTCAGCGTCAAAAGTCAGGACACTGGGGGTGGCCATTGTAGCAGCTGAAAGTCTCACCGGGCAGGAAGGGTCGGGTAGCAGAACGACACAGCAACACGGCAGCACAGCAGCTGCGCCGGTCCAGGAGCCCCACAGGAGCAGAAGATCGGCTCCTCGGGCGGCTCGGGCGGCTCGGGCGGCTCGAGCGGCTCGGGCGGCGTGGGCGGCTCGGGCGGCTCGGGCGGCGTGGGCGTCTCGCGGACGGCTCGCGGGCGGCTCGCGGGCGGCTCACAGGCGGCAGCACGGGCGGCTGGTGCGGCTCGTGGACAGCTGCACGGGCGGCTGGGGTGGCGAGCGGGCGGCTCATGGGCGGCTGCACGGGCGGCCGAGGCGGCTCACGGGCGACTGGGGCGGCTGCACGGGCTGCTGGGGCGGCTCGCAGGCTGCTCACGGGCGGCTGCACTGGCGGTCGCACGGGTAGGTGCACGGGCGGGTGCACGGGCGGCCGCACGGGTAGGTGTACGGGCAGGTGCACGGGCGGGTACACGGGCGGGTGCACGGGCGGGCACACGGGCGGCTGCACGGGCTGCTCGTCGGGCGGCGCTAGGGCGGCGCGTGGGCGGCGCGTTGGGCAGCGCGACGGGCGGCGTTAGGGCGGGCAGCGGCCAGCGCGACGGGCGGCGCGTTGGGCAGCGCGACGGGCGGCGCTAGGGCGGCTGCACGGGCAGCGCGACGGGCTGCTCTAGGGCGGCGCGTTGGGCGGCGCTAGGGCGGCGCGTCGGGCAGCGCGTCGGGCGGCGCTAGGCTGGCGCGTCGAGCGGCGCTAGGGCGGCGCTAGGGCAGCGCGTCGGGCAGCGCTGTGGGCGGCGCGTCGGGCGGCTAGCGCTAGAGCAGGCAGCGGACGGGCACTAGGGCGCTAGGGGCGGCGCTCACGTTCGAGGGCGGGCGGTGCGCTAGCGGCTAGTGCAGAAAAAAAAGGACGTTTCGAGGTGGTGGGCCCTAAGCACAGGTCCCACAGGGGAACCTGCTTGATACCATGAGAAAAAGTGAACGAGAATGAATGAACTATGAATGAAGTGAGTACAAATATGAAACCCTAATTGGGTTGTACCCCCTATGGGATACCCCACTATAGCCTACACAAATAAGTAAGCTATAATGTTCTGACAAACCCGGCGGCCGCTTCACCCTGAAAATCCACATGCCATCGACGATGTTCGCCCGAGGAGGGGTAACCTCATCGACGTAAGTGCCTGTGGACTTCCAGGATGCCATCTCTGCGTCCATGGCTGTCTGCCACTGAGAGGAGTAAGGACCGGAAATTGCCTCTGCGTAAGAGCACGGGGTCGGGATGTCTGGTGTATCCGGGTCTCCCTCAGGGGCAAGCAGCATGGCCACGAGATGAGGGGCTGTGGCCGCAAGACACTCGAACTCCTCTTGCTTGTCCTCAAGGACGTCCGTGCCAAGAGCACACTCACCTCCAACGGTCGGAGGACAGACAGACTCAGAGTCAGCAACAAGACTAGCAGCGTAGTCTACACGACAGGTGGCAGCAAAGTCAACAAGCTCAGCAACTAAGGCAGACGCAGCAGCAGACTCAAACGACGGGTCAGTGACATCAGTGGCTAGTAGACGCGTGACAGTATGGTGAGCAGCACGAGCGCGGTCAGACTCATGGTCTGGAACATCAGGCAGAGAAGATGCAGGAGGGGACGGCAGGGAAACACGCTGCGGAGCAGAGGAAGGACGCAGGGCCATGAGGTGTGTGCCGGGGACAGCCGGCAGACGCTCACGAGGAACACGACGACCAGTACGACCAGTGTGGACAGTGGGAACATGCGAGACAGGACGAGACGCAGGCGCACGACGCTTAGTAAGACCTCCTGTCTGCTCTGTGTAAGGAGAAGGAGCAGGAAGCAGTGAGCCAGGCTGTAACGGAAGATCAGTAGAAGACGGGAGGCTAAGAACCTGGCGAAGCTCGGAGTCAGGCGGTGGCAGAGACGAAGGTGATAGCGGAGCGAAGAACAGGAGCAGCTGTGCAGTGCCACCAGCACCAGTAGCTCCAGCACCACCTGCAGCTCCAGAACCTTCAGCACCAGTACCCCCAGCAGCTCCAGAACCTCCAGCACCAGCACCTCCAGTACTATCACCTCCAGCAGCTCCAGAACCTCCAGCTCCAGCGCCACCAGCGCCAGCACCTCCAGTACTAGGACCACCAGCAGCAGCACCCCCAGAACCGGCACCTCCAGCCCTAGGGTCTCTAGCCGCAGTGTCCCCAACAGCAGCACCCCCAGAACCAGCACCTCCAACTCCAGGGTCTCCAACCTCAGAGTCGACAGCATCACCTCCATGTCCAGCAGTACCTCCAGCCCCAGCAGCTCCCGTACCTCAAGTACGAGCACCTCCAGGACCAGCGGCTCCAGTAACTCCAGTAGAAACACCTCCAGTAGCAGGGGCACCAGCTCGAGCGCCTCCAACGCCAGCGCCTCCCGCAGCAGGGCCCCCAGCTCCAGCAGCGCGGCCTTGACGGCTAACGTACCACTCACGCAGCTGCTGCGGGGAGAGAGGGAGACGCCGACGAGAGTGCAGCGGCGAGGCATCAGCGGAGCGACTACGGAGACGGTCGCTCCAAGGAGACTGCTCACCAGACGCCACAGTGCCCCCAGGCGCAGCACCCCCAGACTCAGTACCCCAAGGCTTAGCACCCCCGGACTCCTCACGCCCAGGCTCAGCACCTCCAGGCTCCGCACCCTCAGGCTCAGCACCCCCAGGCTCAACACCCCCAGGCTCCTCACGCTCAGGCTTAGAACCTCCAGGCTCCGCACCCTCAGGCTCAGCACCCCCAGGCTTTGAACCTCCAGGCTCAGCACCCCCGGAAGCAGCACCCCGAGCAGGACCACCCCGAGCAGGACCTGAGTCACTAGTGATCTCAACCGGCTCAGTCAAGGGAGAAGGGTCTACGTGAGACACACCTGAAGGAGCAGGACCTGGAGCGGGGAGGGGGTCTACCTAGGGAGGATCTGGAGCGAGAAAGAGCGGCAGGGGGGGGAGAGGGGCAGTGCGGAAGGGAAAAAGACGGTATAAGGGGACCGCCTCGGCAAAGATGACGTTCTGAGACGCTAAGACACGGTGCGAGGCGGGGTCGTAAAACGGCGCGAGACCCGGAAGCACTGGACATCCCGACCCCGCGCTCTGATTCCATGTCGAGAGTAAAGGGAAGAAAAGGTGTTTGACTATCGAGAGAGTTGGGTACAAGTAACAAACCCTATACCCTACATTGGCTACCCCACTACAGCCTACATATCATTATAACATGTACATAGAGTTTGACAATATCCGTATTCCCCCGGATATAAGACCCTAGGGTCTTATGCTAAATCCCTAGAAAAAATGGGGGGGTGGGGGGGGTCTTAACAAAGGAAAAAAATATATGATACCCGGGTCTTTTCATACTGAAGTTGTCGGTTTGCTTTTGGTGAGCACCATGACAGCGAAAGTGATCGCTTGACCATTCACAACAAATTCGTCTGTCACAGTAAATTTCGCCCCTCTGACGCAGCAATTCCGGCCCCTGACACAGCAATTTTGCCACCTGAGGCAACAGTTTCGCCCCCTGATGCGGCAAACTCGCCTCTTGACGCAGCAAATCAACCCCCTGACACGGGAATTCACTCCTGAAAGCCGAATTCACACTATAAAATGTTACAGTTTCAAATGAAACAAAGAAAGAATACAAGGAAAATCCCTCTATAGGGGAAAGCGGGGGGGTCTTACTGTATATTGATCACCCCCCAAAAGGGGGGTAAAACGAAATCGAGGTTTAATAAAAGACCCCCCCCCCCTCCCCCCCCCCCCCCCCCGTATTACCTTAGGTACCCGGGGGTGTTGTATTTTGGGGGGGTCTTCTATCCGGGGGAATACGGTACAAATGGGTATACCGAATGTAGGAACTCATACCCTCTACAGTAGAACCCATCCTGGCCCTATACATACACGTACGAATGGGTATGTGTATGTTGACAGCAACAACACCTTGTTCCCCGCAACTATTTTTCGGCTAAAAAAGCATTGCTTATTGAACTCTCGCCAGCCCAGATCCAGATATGGCCCCTAAATATAAGGCCAGTCACATTGTCCAAGTTCTACCCTATGAACCATAACCAGTCAGCAGTCACCTTGCTTCACAACAAATGGGTTCACTGCACGTGCAGAACGGTCTTCCAGAGCTCATCCACCCATTGAACCCGTACCGTAACACATGCACCTTAGGAGCTCGCCGCTTCTGCTGCACCCTCTCCTCTTCCTGCCCCTGCTGCTTTGATCCCACACGCACACCCATGCAGCAGCCACCCTGCTGCTGCTTCTTCTGTGCGGCGCCACTGTCGCTGCCACTGCTACCTCCCTGCTGCTGTTGCTGTTGCTGCTCCTGGTGATGACTCACATAGATGTTGGCACATTTGGGACCACGCACCTGAGACAGGCAAGACAAGCAGTACACAGGGAGACAGGGGTGGGTAAGGGACTTGTGGACCGAGTTGAAGGTCATACGCGCCAAAAAGAGTACATACAAACATGACAACAGGGGTGTGAACAAGGGTAGGGACAGCTGGTTGACAAGCACCAGTATGGAGAGAGGAGTGGCTTAACTGCTGTAAGCAGGAGGAAGCAGAGAGGTGACAATGAGAAAGACACTCGCATGGGAACAACCGAGTGAGCATGCATGGCATGAAGGCACTGGAGCAGTGATGGCATGAAGGCACTGGAGCAGTGATGCATGAAAGGAGGAAATGAGATGGGGGCGGGCCGCGGGGGTTGGGGGGAGGGGGGTTGAGGAACGGGAGATGCACCGAGGGGATGGTGGTGGCCGAGGTGGGAGAATGAATAGCAATGGAGAGAGGAGAGAGGCGAGCGAGGTGAGCGAGACGGAAGTGACTAGGGAGATGAGAGAGAGAAGAGGGACACGAGGGAGAGCAGAGAGCAGGGAGAGCGAGAAGAGAGAGGTGAGGGAGGAGCGCACCTGGGAGAGGGCGCAGTGGAAGACGACAGCATCGTGGTTGGAGAGGCGTGTGGCGAGGTGCGGCAGGTGGTCGCGGAAGGTCTCACTGGGTGCATGCACGCTGCCGTGAATGTGCCCGTCCATCTGCCTCTCCTCGTCCCTGCTCGCGGAAGGGGGAGAAGGGTCTGTTTTTGAGTCGACTCAAAAGCAGGTGGTCACGGAAGGTCTCGCTGGGGGCGTGCACACTGCCGTGAATGTGCCCATCCATCTGCCTCTCCTCGTCCCTGCTCGCACTCCCGCGGAGGAGGGGTGGGAGTGGGGAAACGGGGGGAGTGAGTGGCATGTGGCACCATGTGTGGGCTGGGTTCAAGGTGAGGTAGGAGGAAGGAAGGCAAAGCGAGGGGGGGGGGGAGGGGAAGGGAGGGGAGGGTGGGGAGGGGAAGGAGGGAACAGGAGGATTAGGATTTTTTCTGTTGAAAGCAAGTGCAAATCAATTGGCAAGGGTCGGGGAAATGATGGAGGTGCACGAGGTGCTGCGCGGTGCTATACAGTCTTCCACCTACCCCGCCTTCTAACGGGCACTTGCCTCGTTTTAGAGGCTGAAAAGTACGCCACTGACAATATAACCCCAAGGCACCCTGCTCGTTACGAATGAAGAAGTACCCCCAGTCTTGACAACCGTAAAGCTAGAGGTAAGCATTCGAACTGACTTATAGAGTCCCGTCAGATCAATTTAGCTGAATTCAGAGTAGTAAGGCATGTGGTGGTGTTTTTGCCATGGTGCTTATCGCTTGCAATCACGTGTCACTCACACGCGTTGCGAAACACTCGTTTGAACGAGCGAACGAGCAAGCGAGCGAGCCAACGGAACCAAACGCGTGGCACGGGGGAGTGGAGAAAAGAAAGCGGAAACTCCCGCTGCGAGCACAGCCGACACGCTGATCGCGCCTCACCTCACATCAACAACCGCGATGCGCTTCGATCGGTCCGCTGCCAGGCGCTCGAACTCCTCCGCGCTCAGGTACGTGACGTGCGCCATGCGCGCTGCCGCCGCTGCGCGGCGCGAGTGCTGGCGGAGGGACGAAGCGGCTGCGCAATACGCACGCGCGCGAGGGTAACGCGGAAAGAGTGGAAACCGGCAGAACGCGAGACAGCGGTGCGAGCGAGCAGGGAAGTGGAGAGTACGTGAGGCGGAGGCTGCTCGGGTTGGACGATCACTAGGAACTGCGCGTGTCCCGCTCCTGATTGCAGGGGGCGGGCAGGGAGTTGGTATCATAAGAAGAGTACCTAGAAATATTCGCTTGTGGTGCAGAGAGAAGTCTTCACATGTGTAACGGATCCAGTGTCATATTGATCACTTACAGTAACGCGTATGGTTTCTCTCGTTCATACGGTCGGAATTCTCGCGAATTCGTTAGTTACCACCGTTCTTCGTTGCTTTGTCAAGCTCCTCTGGCACGAGGCTGTGAGTGCAAGATTTAAAAAATCTCCCATACCCACACAATTCTCCATATATTTTACGAGATCCTAGTTCCTTCAAAGCGAGTAGAGAGCGACCCATCAGCCCAGCTTAATTTTTTCCCGGAGTAGTATTCTATCGTAGTATTTCCCTACGAGCTCGGCGCGCTCGCCATTTCCGCCGCATTCATTTAAAATGTTGCTTCACACTCACACCCCGTCCGCCCCCGCCCTCTCCCACGCCTTCCCTGCCCGCAACACCTACCGTTCCCCGTCCCACTCCCATACGCTGCGCATTGCTTCGCATTCCCCTCTCCCCCTCACCGCACCCGCCAACCGCGGCGTCGTTTCCGCGTCTGCCTCCGCCAAGCCGTCCGCGCGCGCTACAGCCGGCCCGTCAACCGCCGACAGCTCCGGTGGCGGGAAGGATTTCTTCGAGTCGGACGTAGTGCGCTACGGCGACCGTTACAATCGCCCGGACCGCTTCCCGCGCCTGCGAGTCGCGGACGCGAGGCAGCGACAGGTGGACGTCAGGGATTGGTTGCAGCGGCTGCGCGTAAGCGCCCGCGACGTCTTTATATGGGACGAAGGGCGGGATAGTAGCGAAGGTGCTGCTTTACAAGCAGAGAACCACAATAGAATTGATAGAGATAATAACGAGGGCGCCGTGGAGGGGGAAGGTGCAGGCGCGGCGGCAGCGGCGTTCCGTCTGCTGGTGGCGCAGGGACGACTGGACGAGGCGTTTCTCGCAGCGAGGGAAGCCATGACGCAGGGACGCGCGACGTTCGCGTTTGAGCCCGTGACGCTGCTGCAGCCCGCTAGAAGCAACAGGTGAGTCATGAATGGATGAACGCGTTGCGTGCAAGCAAATCGTGTCGCACTCACGTTCCTACCTATAGAGCCTTCAACCCACCGCACTCTCACTCTTTCTCTCTCTTCCCCCACACTCCTCCCCACAACACGCAATGCACTTGTTCTATCGGCCCGGTTGAAGCGGCACCGCTGCACTTCCTTCCAACCACGCCTCCGCCCCCTCGCTCTCTTTCCGCTCCTCTCATCCGCCCCCACTGCCCAATCCTCTCTTCCCCACCCCACCCCATCCCCACACGGCACTTGCACCTGTCTATGCCCGTCTCCTGCTCTACTGAACTTGTTCTGGAACGTCGCATAACTGTTCTATCATCACGTGCCCAATCCCACACCGCTCCTGCCTATAGCCGTCTCTTGCACTTCGGCCCCCCTGCGACCTCCCCCCGCCCTCTCCTCTTCTCCGCGCCCAGCAGCAGTGCAGCAGCAGACCACGGGGCGTTCATGCTGGCAGCCGTGGAGAGCGGCAACGTGGAGCTCGCCTTTGAATACGCCGGCCTGCTGCCGCCCGCTCCCTCCCCGCCCTCCTCCTCTTCCTCCTCCTCCTCCTCCTCCTCCTCCTCCTCCTCCTCCTCCTCCTCCTCCTCCTCCTCCTCCTCCTCCTCCTCCTCCTCCTCCTCCTCCTCCTCCTCCCCCACCACACCGCTGCCCCGGGCGGCCATGGCGATATACAACATGCTGCTGGCGGCGTACGTGGTGGCGGGAGACAGCAGCGCCATGCAGCTGGCTGTCAACACCGCCCGGCGCCGCGGGATCGCTCCTGATGGGCTCACGTCCGCGCTGCTGCTCGCCGCTGCTCTGCTGCACGGAGGCGAGGTGAGTGGGGTGAGTGGGGTGAGTGGGATGTGTGGTTCTGAGGCTGGTTGTTGTGAGGCGCATCACGAACAGTTGCACCTGCCGCTGTGCTGCATGGGGTTACGAGGTGTGAGTGGGGGCAGTGGCCGCAGTTGGGGTAATGACGGGAGAAGATAGCAACGCTGTGCTGCTGTCAACATGGCTGACTCAACTCAACTGCTCATGCTGCAGCAGCTGCCGCTGAGGCTGCTGTTGGGCTACTGCTTGGAGCAGTGCAGGTGGGCAGGGAGAGACTTACCCATCTGTGTGAATCCAAATGGGTAAGTCCCTTCCTGCCAGTCGTTGTAGAGTGAGGAGGTGCTCCCTTTCTGCTCTTGCTCCCACGCGCCCCAGGCAGCAGCAATCATGCTTTTGGCTGGTTGGGTCGCAGCTCAACACCACTCAATCAATCACCCTTTTGTTGGATCTGCATCTTCCCGCCTCCCCATCTCCCCTCCATCTGCCCAGCCGCACATAGCGATACTCGTGACGACACGCTTATGTGTTTTCAGAGGCACCTAAGGGAGCGACCTTAGTGCATGACCTCTGTTCAACTCAACTCATAGGTCACTGCAACATGACTTCCTACGTCATCCCTCACGCTCCAATTACCTCAGTCCTCCCATCTGTTTCAACTTCCAAGCCACCTCCCAATCACCCCTGTTCCACAAAATCTCCCCTTTTCTTTCACCCTATCCCCCTCTCGCACCCTCCCCTGTCCTTCCCCTTTTTTTCCCACCCACCCAACCTGTTGCTGGCAGGGTGGCACTGATGGGTTATCACAGCAGCAGCGGCGGCGGGAGATATTTGAGAGTGCATGTGAGCAGGGGCTGGTGAGGCCAGGAGTCACACTGGAGCAAGCAGTTGCTGCTTGCTCTGTGCCCCTTGTGTGAGCTTCGGTACCTATGAGTGACAGGGCGAGTGGAGGGAGATTGTTTTCTCTCAGATACCGTACGACTGCTGGTTACCTGTACGATTTTTTTTTTAATATTATTGATGATGCAGTGCAATACCTGTCGCTACTACGATACCCTCATCCATCCGTGGCTGGTGATGTCATTGTGTTACAACCGTGAGAAGTCGGAGGAGGGAAGCAGACATACAGGGCACAAGGAAGAAGAGGGAGCTTTGATTATACAAAGTGATTACGTTATGCTTACGGGTATGTTACGGTATGTTTCATCCAGCCTGGTAAAAGAACCGAAAGCCTCATTAAAATTGGTGGAGTCAGTATGCATCTGTCGATTCTTTATGCACGTCGAGAAAAAATATCACGAGGGTCTCTGATTGTCTGAGAGTCCTGTATGTGATTACTGTTTGTTGGAAATCCGAATACATTATAACGAATACTGTATACCAGTGTGCTGTTTGGTTTTAGTGTAGTCCTCTTTATAAGTCTCCAGGTCCTACAATAATTGTCACAATTATTGTAGGGGCCACAATTATTGGAGCCCAGCATTACCGTTTGGCCCCGGATATAAGCGCATATGCGCTTATAATAAGTAATGATTTTTTTGGGGTGGCGCTTGTAATTGAGGAACGGCCATAAGCGCCGGCGCTTATAAAATGTCAAATTCCAATTTTGGTTTTCGAAGTATTAAAGTGAAGCCCACAATAAGGCGAACACAACTGTGAACGTTGCGCATGGGATCGTGCATGAAATTCCGGCGAAAACTGCCGCGACTCGATTTCCCATCGCACAGAACCTGTCTTGGAGCAACGCACCTGCCAGCGATGACGTGCATCCTGGCGTGCGGCCCAATAGGGTTTACATGCGCTGCCAGGGTGCCACATTTCACCCGAACTTTCGAGAAGGGGGTGGCATATTCCTGCCAGCGCAGCAGATACGTGCCGCGATTCCCTCCTCTGCGGGTTTAGGCAGGGGGGGATCTGACTATGCCTGAAGAGGAACTCGAGCCGCACACCAGAAGGGGTCCCCTCCAAACCCTCATTTCTTCGCCTTCTCTTTCTCTATTTTCATTCAGATTCTTGGTCTCGCCCGCCATGCTGCGGAAGCCATGGCGGAATTCGCTGGCACTCATTTCTTGTTCAAAAAGAAGCCCGCGCGTAGGCCCGCCTTCGTAGTCGACGCCGACGGATGGTACTCCCGTGTCCCACCTGAACCACCAGAGCCACCACAGCCTCCATCGCCTCCTGCGCCGCCTGCTCCTCCTTTGCCGCCTGCGCCTCCTGCTCCTCCTGTTCCTCCGTCTCCTCCGATTCTGGGATGTCCTCACAACACAGGGGATCCGCCCGTGCTCACGCTCCTGCTCCCGACTGCGTTCGACGAGTGGCTGGAGGAACCGGAAAGCAACAAGGCCCAAGATGTTGAGGTACCCGGTGCACCTTACCCTGGACCACGTTGGGGCCGGCCCGATGATTGCACCACGTGGGACGAATCTGCACTCGGAGCTGACGACGACGTGGCTGAGGACGAGGAAGCGAGCCGTGCTGACGGCGACGAGGAAGCGAGCCGTGCTGACGGCGACGAGGCTGAGGAAGGTGGCGCGCAGGGCGGCACCGCTGAGGATGTGTTTCCTGAGGGCGTACCTGGTGGCGACGACGACGACGGTGTCGAGTACTGGTCACGTGACGGGCTCCCCGAGGAACTGCCGATACCTTCCTTTCCACCAGCTAACCGCAAGCGACCCCACCCGTCTACCCAGAACCGTGATGCCCGCCCCCCCTCTCCCAGGCACAAGATCAGCGATCACAAGCGCAAGGGCTACACCGCTGCGGAGAAGTTGAAGTACGTCGCGATGCTGGACGTGGCGAAGTCGGTGCGCGCACTAGCTCGGGAGTGTGGGATTCACCGGAAGTGTCTCGCCAACTGGAAGGTGGCAGCGGGGTTTCTCAAAGAAGCACACTCCGGGCGGAAGCGCATGCACGGTCGCGGGCGGGCCTCGTGGTACCGCTCCATGGAGTTGAAGGTGTACGAGCGGCTCCTGGACTGGCGCCGCAAAGGAACCGCCGTGTCGGTCGGCCGTCTGCGGGAGTGGTCGAGGGAGTTCATGAAGATCCTCTACCCGGACGTCAACTGGAGCGGGAGTCAGAGATGGTCGGAGCGGTTTCGGAAGCGGTGGAATCTGAGCGTCCGCATGAAGACGCGGGTTGCTCAGAAAACGGCCGCTCGTAAGATTACGCCCCTTGCCGTTATGTCTAAGTTTCAGGTTCACTTACTAAACTGCCGTCTATCCCGCCCGCTTTCCCGCGTCTCACAGATCTTGCGGAGCAGTGCCAGAAATTCTGGCGTTTTGTCCGACACATGCGTCGCGCGTGCGGCATCGAGCCATGCTGGATCCTCAACGCTGACCAGACACCGCTCTGGCTGGAGATGCCCGCCACCACGACCATGGATCAGACAGGCGTACGGTCGGTGCCCATCCGGAGTGCAGGTTATCAGAAGGAGCGTGTGACCGTGATGCTGGCGTGCACGGCGGACGGGGCGAAGCTCAAGCCGTGGGTATTTTTCAAGCGGAAGACGCTGCCGAAGGGCAACTTTCCTCCTGGTAAAAAGTAGCAACTGCCGCTGTCTTACCGTATCGTTTCTCATGCCGCGCTAAGTTTAAGTGCCATTTCTGTGTGCAGATGTGGTCGTGGCTTGCCACGAGAACGGGTGGATGAACGCAGAAGGCGTCATCCGCTGGCTTGAGGAGTGTGTCAAGCCCTTCTTGCAGCCCCGATTTGGCAGGTGTGCGAAGAGCTCTATGCTCGTGCTGGATTCCTACCGCGGCCACCTTACCGAGGGGGTGAAGGAGAAGCTCCGCGAGATCAACTGCGTGCCTGCTGTCATCCCGTCGGGTTGTACGGGTGAGGTTCAGCCACTCGACGTCTCCATCAACAAGAGCTTCAAAGCATCTGTTCGTCAGTAGTACCAGAAGTGGTTTCAGGAGGAGGGCCAAGAGCAACTGACACCTGCAGGTACGTTGTTTCCGTTAAACACGCATGTTTATCCCCCTTTCACCCTTGGTCACTGACATGGCTTTCCCGGGTGTCTCTGTTGCGGTGCAGGGAATCTGAAGAAGCCCCCCCCAGAAGTAGTCCTTCGATGGATTTCACAAGCCTGGAAAGCAGTACCCTCCAACCTCGTCAAGCGCGCCTTCCTCACCTGTGGCATTAGCAACGCGCTTGACGGCAGTGAGGACCACCTCGCCATGGCGCACAGGCGGAGCCAACTGACGGCGGAAGTGGATGTAGACGACGGCATCATCGCCGACGGATTCTTCGGCAACAACTGCCAGGAGCCCGAGTCTGACGAGGAGTAGTTCCGGTAGAATAGCAGATTAAGTCTAAAATTGTGTACCTAGGTAGAATAGCAGATTAAGTCTAAAATTGTACTAACTTGTAGTATTCGTTGAAGATAACGATGTTAATAGTTGTTGTTTGCTTTTGTTGTGGTGGTAAAAAAATTGTTAATATTGAGGGTGGCGCTTATAATAAGGAAGGGTACAAAAGGGGTGGCGCTTAAAATCGAGGATCGGCCATAAGCGCCATGCTCCAGATAGAAGCGCCGGCGCCTGTAATAGGCCGGCGCCTATATCCGGGGCCATACGGTATTAGAGGTTAGAGGGTACAATTATTGGTACTGTCAGAATGTTATCTTATGCTCTAGCCTGTAGTGGGGTGCTCTATAGCGAGTACAACCCTTCTAGGGTTTGCTATTTGTATCCTCATTCTTGCTAGTGCAGCCCCTCTTCTTTCTTCTAACTTTCACATGCTATCAGAGCAGGTCGATCCCCTTGGATCGATCCTGTGGGTGGGCTTACCACCTCCTTGCTTCCGCTGCAACTACTACCACTACTCTCTGAGCCGCACGCCCCGTCGCGTGCGGCAGTTTTTTCTTCCCGCCGTGCGCCCCGAGGCGCGCGGCGGTTTTCTGCTCGCCGTGCGCCCCGAGGCGCGCGGCGGTACTCTGCCCGCTGTGCGCCCCGAGGCGCGCGGCGGGCTTCTGCCCTGTTGTTCGGCGAGTAGCCCTCTGGAGGCGCCGCGACGGGCGACGGGGACCCGCGCGTCGCCCCCCGTCGCCCGTCGTGGCCTGCGCGCGGCCCGTACGGGCTGCGCCAGGCCCGCGCGCGACCCGTACGGGCGGCGCCAGGCCCGCGCGCAGCCCGTACGGACGGCGCCAGGCCCGCGCGCGGCTCGGGCCGCCTGCGCGCGGCTCGGGCGTCTGTACCAGGCCCGTGGAGGGCCCGTTCCTCGCTGCCCCTGCCCTCCCCGCTGTCCCCCAGTGCTTCTACTGGCGCCCCACCCCTCCTACTCCCCATTCTCCTGAATTAGGGTTTGGGGGTGAGGGGTATGGGGGTGACTTCACTCTGTACCGTTCCCTGCTCCTCCTCCTCCTCCGTCTCCTTGTGCTGCAGCTGCCGCTGAAGGGGGGTGGACGTGTTGGAGCCGGTGGAGTGGTACTAAGGGGGGGTGAAGGGGGAGTGGAGCTAGCGGTGTAGCAGCGGGTGTGTGCCAGGGGGAGTGGGATAGATTGGGGGAAGTTGAATGGAGGTTGCCGTCGTGTCGCCAGCAGCACCTGTAGTCCGGGGAGTTGCTCCGGTAGCCCAGTCGTAGCCAGCTGTGCCAGCCGCCCGTGGGTCTGTTGCTCGTCTGCCGCTACTTTAGCCGCGGGGCCAGTTACTCCAGTATTCCGGAGCGTTGTTCCGGTAGCCGCTGTGCCAGTGTGCCTCCTGTTGCCCGTGTGTCTACAGCTTCAGCCGTCGCCTCCTATCTCCTCTCCTCTCACTCTCTCTCCTCCTCCTCACTTGCCCGTTGTGACTACCACTAGCTTTGCTCATAATTGTGAACTTTAAACTATTGCTTCTTGAACTTGTGCTCAGAATGTGTGGTGACATTGTGATCCACCCTGAGCTTGTACTGCTTTGCTTGCTCTGCTGATTACACCCCA